TGACTTTGTCGTGAGTCATTACCTAGTTGGGCCTAAACCTTTAAAACTTGTCTTCGAGAACTCACACATTAAGATGATTGGAATTAGTTTATGACATTGGTCATGAACCAGTGGCTTATTATACTTAATCACATTAATGAGATGATGACACGATGGTTTGAGTAGGCCTTCTCGGGCCCACTCGCTTATGACATCCTGCTTTTGTTTGTTTTTAATTCTGAATTGCGTTAATTGGTCATAATTAATTCATTACATATTTGTTTTATGCGTGGCTTATACTGTTAGACTCAGAATTAATTTTTCTACATTCTGTAAAATTTTGAAAATTTTCAGAAAATATAAATTATTTTTCCTGTGTTAATTGTGTGGGTGATTTTCCGACCACACTGCCCGCTTAGTAATCAGCTGGAGAGCACTGGCAGAATAGATGGCACCTGACTGACCTGCAACAGAAATATAAGAATCCCGCGGTGGTTTCGACCACCCGGGGGCACTCCGACGATCAAGTCAGTATATCTCTCAAAGATAAATCAAGTACTAAACTCACAAGTTTGAGTATTAGAAGCATATCTTAGACCCATGGGGGTGCCTCTCTTTTATACCCAATACAATCCTAGTCCCAAAAGGAGCCTGGCCCTAATGTTCTTAGGATTACTCGGGACTCCCAGTGGGATTAGAATAAACTTTCTAAGAGTCTTATCCTTACCCAAACTGAAGTCTTCTCCCAATCTAGGACTCTTGTCCATATCCAAGTTGAGTTTCCTCTTCATTCTAGGACTCTTGTCCCCTTATCCGCTTATCTCGGATTCTGATATCTTCGGAGGCAACCTCGGCCTAGCCGAGATGACCTCGGCACAACGACCAAGACACGTGGCATCTCGGCTGACACGTCGGCGTCACCTTGCCACGTGTTGGTACTTAGAAAATATATCCTCACAGAAATACATGATAATTGGCCCAATGGTCAATGTAATTATCCATTAGGACAGTAAGAATGTTAATGGATTTTTAAAAAAAAATATGACAACATGATCGTGATGACAATACGTTAATTCAGCATAACAATCTCATTCAATCTAAAACGCGGCTAGATTTGGAAATACCTCGGTCCCACATGCTGTGTATATCTTAAAAATCCAATAGATTGATTCACATCCTCAATAAAACTAACACTTTGCTATTTCAATCCTAATTAGGACACATTAAAAATCAGTGATTGATCAAAACACAGTCACCCTATCAATTCTATCCTATTCACATATGGAAACAATCTTAACTAACCCCACCTTAAAAACTCATTGTTTCATTGTTTCATTTTAATTTCTGCATTGTGATTATCAATTTTTAATTTTTTTAAACGATGGTGGATTCTTACACCAACTACATTAGTCTGAAAGATCTATTGCCGGAGGTGGCGGCAGGGCCGGACTATAGAAGGAAGGACAGCTGGAGGGAGATTCGGATAAAGGATCCTCTCTTGCAGAAGGCAGCGTGGCACTACCTACGGCCGAGGTTGTCGGAACCCGAAGACCGTCGGGGTTGCGCCGCCAAGTTCAAGGACATGTGCTGTGCTGTGATCGGGTGCTTCGGGGGTGTCTTTGATGATGAAGAGGATGTTTTCCAACAATGAGAATTGGTGATGATGATGATGAAGCTGTTAACGTTGACTGAACATTGAAGCGGAATTTTTTGAAGCTTCGATTTGACTGGTGAATGGACTTTTAGTTCGTATATAAATAAGAATTTTTTGGTTTTTTTTTTTTTTGGCTTTTAGTTTGACACACTTTCTTTTTGTTAATTGGTTTATTGATTTTTAGCGATAGGTGATGAGAAAATAGAACAAAATTTATTTGATTTGATTGATCTATATATATCGGTTTTTGTTATGATATTATTATTGTGTTCTTGGTTTTTCTTATCTTCTATATTTTTGGGATTTTATTTTTAAATTTATAAAAGAGTTATAAAACAATAGATAACTTATTCGAGTATGTGAGTTAGTGTTCTTTCCTCATATTATTTATGTTCGAATCTTCTGTTGTTTGCTCAGTTCACTGACTTAGGGGTAATCTTTGAATCTCAAGTCTACTTTTTTAGGATGGACTCTCAATTATCAAATAAATAAATCAAGCATGGAATTATATTTGTCAAGGTTCATCATATAATTGATTTTTTTTTAAAAAAAAAATTGTAAGTAATGTTTATTTTATTTTTTTAAATTTAATAAAAGAGAATGGATAAACTTTAATTTAAATTAGAAGCATACATTACACTTTTTTTTCTCTCTCTTTTATTTTTATTTTTATTTTTTTTCTCTATGGATTGGTACTCTTTAATATTGATATGGTACATGTGACAAAGTATATTAAATTGACTAATAAGACTGTTTTGCAAACAGATGAGCAAAGGGAATGAATGTAACTATCTTCCATAATCACACAACAGTCCAATGCTAAGAAGTTGGACCAACACAAAAAAATAGTATCAATATCACCACCAGAAAATCAAGAAGTGGTTTTATCGTTCCTTTGGGAAAATTTCACTAACGGATCATGAGATTTTTACATTGTCACAAATGTGTATCTACACTCATTCGCAGTTCTATATTTGCGCGATTCAAAGAACCAATCACCAATAATCTCCACATGAGCATCGACCATTTCTGAAGTGGTGATACATCTTCGGATCTCCCACTACTATCTCTCTTCCAGTAACCTCTGAAATCTTCTTTGCAGCACCATGGCAAGCTTCGCATATTCTGATGTTTTTCCTAACAAGAACAGGATTTCCAAGTGATACAGCTATCAGGCCAAAACAAATTGCTAATCTAACACTGTGACATTCAGGAGCGGTTGATCTTTTTCGTATCAAGTCTAGTGGCCTGAACTTGGTGAGACTATGAATGTATATGTCTTCACTAATCTTCCTTGAGATAATGTTTAGAACATCATATATTAAGCTGGTGTCGATATGAGACCTGTCTTGGTTGACAAACTTGAAAGTCCTACTATTGTTCTCAACCGTGCTATACCCAGTGGTTTTTTCCAATCCTTGATTCTTCATAAGATGTTTAATCCGTTCTACATCTTCCCACCTTCCAGCTTCAGCATACATATTTGCAAGCAAGACGTAGCAACCAGTATTATCATGTTCCAAGGACAAAATGTGCTCAGCTGCAAGCTCGGCTAATTCTATGTTTCTGTTGTGTCTACTGGCTGAGAGCAAAGACCCCCATATCCTTGCTGTTGGGGCCAGTGGCATTTCATCGATAAAACGCTTGGCTAGGTCAAGATTTGCAGAACGGCCAAGAATATCAACTATACAACCATAGTGCTCTATTCCTGGTTCAATCCCATAGTCGTTTTTCATTGAACTGAAGTACTCCCATCCTTGATCGATCATGCCAGCAATGCTGCAAGATAACAGCAGGGAAACAAAGGTACTCGCATTGGGTTTGATATCCTCTTCCTTCATTTCAGAAAACAATTTAATTGAATTTTCACCAAACCCATGAATACCATAAGCCATAATGACTGTGTTCCATGAAATGATATCCTTAAACAACATCCCATCAAAAATTTTCCATGCAGTCTTGAGATCCCCACATTTTGCATACATGTAAACAATTGAATTTGAGATGAAGGTACTTGAACAAAGATTTAGCTTTATGACGTAACCATGGATTTGCTTCCCCTCTCTGAGCAAGGCTACTTCAGCATATGCAGGTAAAATACTAGTTATTGTTGTTGCATCTGGGTTAAAATGCTCTCTCCATAAGTCCTGGAACAGTTCCAAGGCCTCTCTGTTACAACCATTCTGAACATAAGCAGCAATCATGGCATTCCAAGAAACTAGATTTCTTTCACTCATGTGACTGAAAATTTTTCTTGCGAGTTTTTGATACCCACACTTTCCATACATGTCAACAAGAGCAGTCTCGAGCACCAAATGAGGGAGAAACCCTTTTCTAATGGTTAGACCGTGGATAGTTTTACCGGGAAAGAGAGCTCCAATTTGTGCACAAGATGGGAGAAAATTTATTGCAGTGATCATGTCAGGAGTCAAGTTATCATCCTCTTGCATCTTCTTCAAGCAAACAAATGACTCTAAAGGTTGCCTGTTTAGAGCAAATCCACCTATCATAGCATTCCAAAGAACAATGTTTTTCTCAGAAATTGTTTGAAAAAATGTCTCTGCATAATCCACTCTACTACATTTTGCATACATATCAACGACTGATGTCTGAACCATCACATCTGATTCAAATCCACGTCTGATTGCTTGTCCATGAATTTCCTTCCCGTATCGCAGCGTACACTCAAGAGAACACGCTCCAAGACTGCTAATTATGCTGAACCTATCAGCTCTCAATCCAATGGCCAGCATTTCCTGGAAACACACCAACGCATTCCAACCCTCCCCGACTGAAACATACCCACTAATCATTGAATTCCAAGAAACCAAATCTCTAACCAGCAAATCTTCAAACACCCTCTCAGCAAGCTCAATACACCCGAGCTTTGCATACATAGCAATAAGGGAATTGCAAATGTAAAGGTCCAAATCAAATCCAACTTTAATCAACTTTGAGTGAACTTTCTGTCCTTCTATCAAAGAATATGACCCGGCACACGACTTAATCACAAATGGGTAGGTGAAATTGTCAGATCGTACTCTTTCGAATTGCATTCGATAATAAAAATCAATGGCCTCTTGAAAATACCCATTGCTAGTTAGTCCCCTGATTATAACATTCCAAACAAAAGGGTCACATTTAGTCATATTCTCAAACAGATGGAGTGCATCTTCCATAGACCCCAAATTCACATTCGATAAAAGACTCCGAATTTCAGAGAGATTGCTTTGTCGAGTTGAAAACTTTACAATCTTGGACGGTTTTCTATTAATTCGAGATGATTTGGTGAGTCTTTGCTTGATAGCGAGGTCGGGGTTCGTGTTCTTTTTGGCTGAGTTGACTCGTCGGATGTTTTCGGATGAGATGGGTTTGTGGGAATAGCAGAGAGCAAGAGTTGCAGACATCTTTAGATCAATAGAGTTTCATGAATTGGAGAGAGAGGCGTTGGAAATCATGGGGTGGTCTCGGTTTTTCTTTTTTGGGGGGGACGCAGAGTGACCGTTAATACGGTTATGGGCGCGTGAAGGGCTAGCCGCATTAGAGTGTCTTGAGCTATACTTTTTAATTATTATTATTATTATTTTATTTTTTAGTAAAAAATTTTTAAAAAAATTATTTTTTAAGCTCTACAATGGAGGACTTTTAAAAAGTTGAGCCTGCTTGCATTGGTTGGATTTATTATTTCTACAAAGTAGATTATAATTGGAGGGAGATATTATATATCAATAATGCCGTGATATCATTAATATTACGTTGGATTGTTTCTTTAAAGAATTACACGGTCATCTATCTCTAAATATGATCACGTGGAGTGCATCTTTAAATATAAAGAATTTACTTTATTATATGATTTGTCGATGTGATGAAAATATATACCCTCAAAGGACACAATAATTTTCCTTTCCCAAATTACAATAAATTGGTGCTAAGAGGCAACTGAGGACATAAGATGGGAGTTCCATTCATGGTGTTGAACAAGAAGAGAGGAAAATAAGACAGACTATTCCAAATCCAAACAAATGTCAAATGATCAGCTAAAAATCACCACTAGTTACATCCCTTCAATTAATAATATGCAGGGCTTGTGCAGCAAATTACAATTAGATCATCTCATCATAATGTGGTGCCATGCCACATTAAGATGCACCATTCACACAAAACAAAGAAAAACATTACAACTATAACCAAAAAGGCCAAATGCCAATATGAGCTAAATTTAGACGTCAATAGAGATTATGTTTTCAAATTTTCTGTCTTCAATTCCTAGTGTACTTCCAATCACATGATGTGAAGAGAATTTCAAAATATGAGAATCTTGTGACTAGATTGTCTGAAAGTGCACTGAGATAAAATAATAGAGATTTTGAGAACAGAGAATCTCGTGCCATAGTTAAGTTTAAAGTTCCTCAGGGATGCTCTGAAGAGCAGGCCTCCAAGAACTCCGGCGACTCCCCTTCACTTGACCGACTCTCCATTGGTGCCTTCTCCTCATCAGATTTAACCGTTGTTCCAAACACAAGGACGGTGTAGGCGAAACCGACGTTGATGTTCCACCAGTGTTCTTGCCACCTCTTATGACTTCTAGCATTTGCTTCAAGTCTTGTTTGTTCACAACAATCTTCATCCTCACCACCCCATCTTCACCACCATCGCTGCCCGAAACAACACCATCTCCATTGCTGACTTGTGCAATAGCGTCCAAAATGTTGTTCCTCATTGCCCTTTGATTCCTAGCTCTTGAGACTCTAAATTCTCTCTTTGGTGAAGATCTTCCTTCTGCAACCTTCAAGTATTCCATCTCTCTCTCTCTCTCTCTCTCTCTCTCTCTCTCTCTCTCTCTCTATACTTGACTCTATGTCTATGTTGTTGATCAAAGCGCATGTACCATTTAGGCCTTTATATAGTCATAATAAGTAATAACCACCAATGGATCCTGTTAAACTATGCAAGTTCGGTTAACCAAAAAATACGCGTTTCAGTACAAATTGAAATACCAAGAATGAAGATTGTAATGTTTGACTTTTGATAGAATATTTCCCAAATACCCATTCACATAGCTTGAAATGTTTGTTCATAGAGTTTCAAATGCATCGAATTATTCATAAATAGTTTGATTTTGGCCAATTTAAACTCAGCATAACTCATTTATTTAGCATAACTCATTTTCTAAATAAATGAGTTCAAGCTAAATTGCATGAGACCCAAGATCAGTTCAAACTAATTTATATTATTTCTTTGTTTATGTTTGGTGTTTGTGCAAATTTACATATTTAATTGATGAAATTTATTAATAATATGATCATTATATATATATATATACTGTTCATGATCTTCTCTTTCTTCTTTTAACATGTGTTCTTTTTCTTTTTTTTTTTCTTTTTTTCAAGCTGAGTTTGCGCTCAGTTAATTTATATAATCGAGTTAGCTCCAATCAATTTTTTAATTAAGTTCAACCTAATTTTAGTTCAAATACTCTAAAACTCAATTTAAACTTTATTTATACATAATTTAAGAGAGTCAATAAAGGGTTATGTTGTCACCTCACCGACTAGAGTTTGGGGCTCAATTGTCAAATGGAGTAGTCCTTTGCGTGAATTGGGACAAGAGCTAAGAAATAGTTAAACAAAATTTCAATAAAGTTATGATATTTGAAATGTAGTGGCGAGGTTCTATGTATGTATTGAAAATTTTAAATCCACACCGACTACTAGCCTCACATGCAAAGCCGAATAATGCGCAGGAAATGTATATGTATCTGTATTTGTACATGTCAATGTCAATGGAGAAGGATCTATTTATTAATAATGTGGGTGTTTGGGAATATTAATATTGATCTCAGAGTAGTTTGCAATTCAATGGAGGTTAGAGAGCAGATCACAACTACAACACAATGATGAGGAGATAGGTGGGATTCTACAGGTGATTGATTAGGTTGGTGGCAGAATTTTGGCCCGCATTCAGATACTAGTAATGTTCATTGTGATTATATTTAAATGAGTAAATGGATTTGTGGGTGTAATTTACATTTTAGGCCATCTTGACAATCCAAACTAGGAGTTTGCTGGGCAAATCATTTATACAAAAAATAAAATTAATTGAATATTGGTATCCACATGATCGAGGACAAGTATGATTGAAATAAAGTGTCTATTTTTCACATAATTTGTGAACCGGTCATGTGGCTATCAATGTGCAATCAAATTTTATTTTTTATATGGATGATTCTCTCGATAAGTCCTAACAATTCAAATTATTAAAGTGGGCTTAGAGTGAACACACAAAATGAAAATTACATCGTTTGATTTATTTTCGTAGAGCAAAGAGAAGCCTTGTATACTATATATAAAGGCTTCTCTCTGATTTGACAGTTCAATTGAGAGGGTTGCATAGTCCATTGGTGATTCAAATAGTCTATTTTATGAGGTGAATCAACAAGCAAATTATTTATATAAAAAAATGAAATAAAAATTACTCAGATCCTATACATATATAATTGGGGGTTTTAGTCGTAATGCAAGGCATCAATGTTGGCGACGTGTCACACAGCCTGTTTCGCTGATTATTTCTCTTCTCCTAATAGTTGTAACTTCCGAATCATACCTGATTACAAGAGTTCTCTTTTAACTCTTATTGAAATGCTCTTTAATCAAGAATATTCAACTACCACTTCATCCTCCTTTTCTTCCTCAACAACCAATTTTTGGGATTAAATTCCATCCAAAGATCAAAAAATAATGAGAAATACATAAGCGTGTGAAGACAACTTCATGCCAAATTCTCAATATATGTGCATAGGTTTTTCGATTCAATCTCACTTAAAAAAAAGAGAGGAGCATATTTTTTTATATGGAATTATGATAAAGTCCACCGCCAAAAGCTAATTGTTGAGTTCAGGGTGTATCGCGCGCAGCATATTTTTGTTATATGAAATTATGATAAAGTCCACCGCCAAAAGCTAATCGTTGAGTTGAGGGTGTATCGCACGCACACAAGAACATGAGACTTCACTTTATACGCTTCCTCACTTGCAACATGTTCACTCAACAACACTTGCCGCATGCAAGCTAGGAATACACTCTTAATCCATCCCTATCCCTAAGTAATCTTACTCTCACCTTAACAGCCAACTTTTAGAATTCAAGATTGTATTCACATTATTAACATATCTATGAAGTTCCTAAGGTCGCATTTGGTAAACGATTTTAGTTCATAAAATATAATATAAAAAAGAGGGAGAAAAAAAAAAAAAGAAGTTATAACCACTGCACAAGACTCTGCTTGTAGCAAGGTTGGTAATAGGTAGACAACCAATAAAATGGTTCAAGCATTAGACAAGAAGGGATGAAAAAGTTATGATGTCCTATTCAAAATCTAAAATATCCTCCCTAAATTGATGGTACCTTGGTGAAAACATCTCTTTCTGTAGTAGTGGAGTGGAAGATCCAAAACAATGCTTTCACCTTGGAGTAATATAGGAACTCAGACCCTGATCAGCAGCTCGGATGGTCAGTTGCCCAGGTTCCAATCCAGGAAGTTTGAGGTTTGACTCTAGGGATGGCAACAGACCGGGCCGGGGCCGGGGATTACACTCCCCCGTCCCCGATTCCCGAAGGCAAAAAAATTCCCGTCCCCGCCCCCGATCCCCGACGGGGACACCATCACTCCCCCCCGCCCCCGCGTTTTCCCGCCCCCGAAAAATCCCCGACCCTTTTTTTTTTTTTTTTTTTTTGAGGCAGAGGGAAGACAAAGAAAAGCAAAAAGGATGAATGCTAAATAGGATGAAATTTATTCTCTCATTTACACAGATATACAATCCAATCTTGAATGCAAGAACAGATATACAAAGATGGATGCGTGCACGCGCACACACGGGCCGTACTGATCCTTCAATCATATGATCTAACACTAAACAAACAGTAATAAAAAGACACAAAATAGAGAAGAAACAGAGATAAGATATATATATATATATACTACAACAATAACAGTAAATGTCTTTAAAAAAATGTTTGTAAAATGTACAAAAATTGATCTCACTCCACAGATCATTACTCAGATAGACCAAACTCAAATTCGAACTCAGATAAAATGTTTGTAAAAAAACACAAATCCTCAAATCTGAACTCAGTATCCTTAGATCTATTTTAAAAAAAAAAAAAAACACACAAATATGCCTGGAGAAAGAAGAGCACGGTGGGAACTGGGCTCGCTATTGCCGTGAGTCATATCGTTCACTTCAATACGCTAAAGTGATGGCAATGGCAATACTTTGGATTTTTCATCGACATATCTGAGCCTACGATCTTGATGTTGTGGAAATAATGGGAGGACGAGTGGCTGGAGATGAACCAGATGGTGGCGGAGATGAACCAAACAGCGGTGGTGAAAAGATCGGCAAAGGCGAGTTAGGTGTTGGTGGAGTCTTCTTCATGGCGTTTGATCACTTTGAGATCAACCGTGAATCATATCGTTCACTTCAATATGCTAAAGTGATGGCAATGGCAATACTTACTTTGGATTTTTCATCGACATATCTGAGCCTACGATCTTGATGTTGTGGAGAGAATGGGAGGAAGAGTGGCTGGAGATGAACCAGACGGTGGCGGAGATGAACCAAACAGCGGTGGTGAAAAGATCGACAAAGGCGAGTTTGGTGTTGGTGGAGTCTTCTTCATGGCGTTTGATCACTTTGAGATTGACGGTGATGGGAGGAGGAAGAGGATAGTGGAGGGAGGGAGATCGACGGTGATGGGAGAGTTATAGAGAGAGAGAGAGAGAGAGATGAGAGGTGGTCTAACTATATTTTAGTGTTTGGTTTATATATATATATATATATAGGGGTATAATAGTAATTTCACATTGGGGAAACGAGGACGGGGACGGGTCGGGACCGAGACCGAAGCTAGGGAACGTGTCACTCTCCCTGGCCCAAAATTTATTGGGGATTTATTTTCAAATACCATCCCCAGCCCGTTGGAGATATTTTTTGGAAAAAAAACTGTTCTAATCGGGGTCAGGGGCCAGATTCCTGTCAGGTCAGGTTTAAATTGCCATCTCTATATGACTCCCCTCCCTATTGCACAATTCATAGGCCTAGGTAATGACCTTTGAACCCCAAGTTCACATACCCGGAGTGGATCCAAATGACCCGCCGAGTTCTGGTAATAATATATATATATATATATACATGCATTCAGTAGCGAAAGCCAAAACAATTTGGGAACAACAGCCAGAGCCAGATCAACCCAACTTCTGGACAGCTCGTGTGCTCCTTACGAGGCATATGCACCCCCTTGTTTCCACTTTCACACCTTAGAAACTTACACCATAACACAACGGAAGTGAAAGCCCGGATCCAGTCTGATTTGTATAATACACTTCCATGAGACAATCAAACAGCTATAACTAAACATTTATAGATATAATATTATATTAATTTAAATATAATATAATATTATATATCCTAAACAGCCACCCAAACACACATATAATAATATTATATACATAGATATAATATAATATAGACATATGCACATACGGGGAAGTTTCGGGGAAGTTGCGGGGCGGGGCCGGGCCGGGGCCGGGGAAGGGAAATTTATCACCGTCCCCGGCCCGAAATTGATCGGGGATTTAATTTTGAATACCATCCCCGTCCCCGCGGGGGTATTTTTCGGGGAAAAACCATTCTAATCGGGGTCGGGGGGTCGGGTCCCCGTCGGGCCGGGTTCAAATTGCCATCCCTACATGCATTCAGTAGCGAAAGCCAAAACAATTTGGGAACAACAGCCAGAGCCAGACCAACCCAACTTCTGGACAGCTCGTGTGCTCCTTACGAGGCCCCCTTGTTTCCACTTTCACACCTTAGAAACTTACACCATAACACAGCGGAGGTGAAAGCCCAGATCCAGTCTGATTTGTATAATACTGCAACATTTTGTTTTATCCCATTCCGGCGTGTGGAAAAAAAGAATCTTACACAAGATTGCTGTAATAAACTATCGGCAATAGCTTTTTCAATCACAAGTTGTGCATACAAAGAGCTTAGTTACAAATAATTTTTTAGGCTTTACTTTATAATTCCAAGGTTAATACACTATACACAACTTCCATGAGACAATCAAACAGCTATAACTAAACATTTATAGATATACTATTATATTAATTTGAGACAAATTTTAGGTTTATAGAAGCAGAATACACTATTATTACAACCAATACTGCTACTGCTAGTGTTTGCTACCACCACTATTGCGAAGATTATTCCTATTGCCAGGAACACTGCCACTGCCAACATCATAAGAAACAAAGTGGTCCAGCAGCCCACAGACCGCTTGAATCCAAAACTGATATGATACGATATAATACGATAAACTTTTCGTACAATTTGTCAGCAGATGTAAATGAAATTTCGAAATGATAATGTACCAGTGGAACATGTAGATATTCCTCAATCAGACGTGGTTTTTCTGACTACACTTTTGTCCTGCGATTAGCTATTTCTTTAACTATAACAATGGTACTGTAGAACATGCCTATTCTATTCCCAAAAGCCAAAAAAATTTAAAATAGTGAAGATACAATGCTCAGGAGACTACTTTATTGTATGGGCTCAAACTTGATGAATGTGATGCACACTCACAATAAACTAATACATGGAGATCCGCAAAGGTTAAATTATTCCTGTCCCAAAAGCATACTAAATCACAGACACTAGGTCCATGTTATTTATTATCCAATCCAATGTAAGAGTAGTGAACCATTTTGCAAGTTCACACAACGAAGACAAAATAGGTGAAAGTTAATAAATGAACTAAAAGAAATGTTAACATGAAAATATTGAGATCAATGATTTCCATCACAAGAAAAGATAGAATAAGGAAATTAGAAGGGGCACTAATCAAAAAGATAAAATGACGAAAAGTTGATTGAGATGTTCCGATCATATGCAATTTAGACCAATTGATGCAGGGTAGAAATGAGTGATTTGATCCAAGTTGAAGTTACGGAAGGACAAGACGGAAATCAAAGCGCAAGTGGGTTGACATTGTGAAAAATGACATAATTACTTTTGACTTAACTGAGAATATGACTTAATAAATATTGAATCCGCAGGAGAGGAGAAAAAGGTTTAAGTAGGGAAAAAGAGAAGGGATAGTAGTAACCCTTTCTTTTATCTTATTTGGATTGCTAATGAAAGAAAGTAAAGAAATGGTAACAATCATTGAAGGATTTTTTCTCTCACAACCACTTTAGAGAAAGGAATTAACCTTTTTGCCCACAAATTTTATGATTTATTTATTTTCCCTTGCATTAAAAATTTTTTAAAAAAAAACGACATTTATATTTGGGAGTAAAAAAGGATAATTTTCTACGCCCTTTTCTTCTTTCTCCAATTTTCCCACTTTCGGAGAGAGTAGATAATGAGAGCACGAAAGGCTCTCAATTTCTTTCCTCCCTTTCAACATTGTGCACTAAAATCTCTCCTCTCCATCATTTTCTTTATTCCCAAAATCACTAATTTGAAATGGATTGTAAAAGACATACGTGTAATCAACCCCAATTAGTTAGGATTAAGATTTGTTGAGTTAAATTGTTAGGATAAATGGCATTACGATTGATTGTCAGAAAGCCAAAATTAATTGAGAAAAATATAGTACAAAGTTTTCAAAAGGACAATAAAAGTGCAAAAAAAGAACACAAGTAATTGTGAACATAGAAATATTTTGTCAAGGATTTGATGAAGGATATGATTTTGTATAAGTTAGATGGTAAAAAGTACATATTTAGCTAACCCAAAGTTGTTGCCTTCTACTTGATATGATTTGTGCAAAATAGCATATAACTTGGAAGGCCCTAGTTCCCATCAAGGTAAAATTTAGTGTGAAGTTCATCGCCATCCACATCAAATACAATACAAACATCTTTGTATAAGCAAAGGAAAACCAAGATTTTTCATTAATAATCATTTTTATAGCCAAATCTCAGAATTTTCCTATGTAAACCTTTTAATACCGTGTCAAATCAAAGTCAATATTTTCACAACAAATTGGCGAAATCATTTCACATTAAAGTACTAGTAAGTTTCTTAAAACTGCCTACCTATTTCAAAATAGTTTCTTTTTATCATAAAGTTCCTTAGGTTTTGCCAAGATTAAAAGATTGTCAATTCCCATATTACAACTTGGTTAAACTTCCATCATCTTTTGGTCTTGATATTAACATAGATCCTATGCCTTCTACGCAAACAAGTAAAAGCAAAACTCAAAACTAAACAAATGAAATCCTATCAAGCTTATCCCTCACATTACACTCTCCTCTTTCTTGTTCTTCCTTTCTTTTTCTTTCTCTGTGTGTGTGTGTGTGTGTGTGTGTTTTTTTAATGTTGAATTTTATTTTAAGTGCCACCACATGACTCTTCTCTAAGAGAGATACAGCTAACTACATCACGTGCCATGTCTACTAAAAAATTTATCTATTACAATTAAGGACAATTACAACAGTCTCCAGCTACTTACTAGCATCATTTACAGCTCAACCTCAGTAAAGCCACCAACTCAGTGATATCATATCATGAAATGAATAATGCTGTAAAAAAATGGCCTCTCAAAAGTTCAAACATTCTCCCACTAAACAATCAAATTGGCAACACTGAAAATATCATTGAAAATTCAAAATTACATAAAAAAAAACTAAACTAGAGAAACTTCTCAGGTAAATCAGAGGACATTGTCCAACTCTCTAGTTATATGTAATCTGGCTACAATTAAAGATTGCAGCAGCATCTACTACTTCAATAAAAAAGTACCCAAACCCCAATACCAAGAGTTTAATTTCAAAAGGGAGCAGATTGAACTGGAAACACAGTCGCAAAACATTAAATTAAAACAGATAAATAACAAAACCAAAACAGAGTTGATCAAAAAAAGAGACAAAGACAGCACAAGAATAACCTTCAATTCCCTGATCTCGGACTAATTCGCGGTCTTCTTCTCCGGTTTTCTACAGAGGATCATGTGCATTGGAGTGAAAATCCCAGTCTCACCCCCTCTAACTAGATAATCAGCAGTCTTGAACAGCATTTCATGAACATCCACAACACCTTTCGGCGCAATCCCGAGAAAAGCAAGCACTGTAATCAAAATGTGGTTCCTCCAATACGCAAATCTCCCCATTTTCAGCCTTGTCCACCACGGTTTCGCCGGAGGCTTCGCCAAATCTTTCTCCTTCACAACCTCAAACCCTACCTTCTTCGCAATCTCCGCAATCTGATCGTAACTCCTCAATCCAGGCAAAGCATCGCCTCTCTCAATCCCCTGAATGATATCAACGTGTTCCGCATCGTCCCCACGGTACAATTCCGTGGTCACCCATTCATACGATACGTACAAAGATCCAGGCTTTAAAACTCTGTAAATCTCGGAATAAACCTCTTCGAGTTTCGGGGCGTGACAAGTTGCTTCGATCGAGTAAGCGCCATCAAAACTATCGTTCTCGAAGGGCATCTCGAGGAAATTGCCGCAAACGACCTCGCATTGCGAATCGAGCTTGGCTTTCTTGTTGTGAGTTCGAGCCCGATTGACTTGGTACTCGTTGATGGTGATTCCCACGACGTGAGCGCCGGAATGGGAGGCGATTGCGCGCATCGGGCCGCCGACGCCGCATCCCGCGTCGAGAATGCGGGATCCGGGGTTGATTCTGAGTAGATCTACTGCCATTTCCTCGTGTACGCGGGTGGCTTCGCGATCAGATTTTCCGGGGAGGGAAGGAGAGAAATGAAAAGATTGGCCCCAACCCCATTCGTAGATGTCGGTGACGAGGTTGTAGAAAGTGTCGACGAAGGCAGGGACGTTCTCGGTGACTTCGATTTCTTTGGGGCGGCGAAAGAAGGACCAGTACTGTTTGTAATTGTCTTGGACTTTGTCGGCGGAGATGGAGCCGCCGGAGAGGTGAACGGCGCTCTTGCCTTTCTGTTCGGCGGGGCCGAGGACGCAGACGAACCAGTAGAGGCCGCCGGCGATGAGAGAGGCGGTGCAGAAGAGAGCGAGAGCGTCCATTATAAGAGAGAGGGAGAGAGATTGTGTTGTGTGTCAAGTGTGAGAGTCAAATACTCAAAGCTGGGAGCGCCTTTTTATGTTATGTTGGGGGTGATATGAGAAGAGAAAATGCTATCAATTTTAAATAATTTATTAGAGCATCTTTAACAGTGAATTAAACTTGACATTAAATTTAAATTTTGATAAAAAAATTATTTTTTGGAGCTTTAATAATTTCAGTAAATTAGTATCAAAATGAAAATTTATCAAAAAATTCATCAAAGTGAGAATAGGGTACAGATTTCACTATTTTACTGTGCGTAATCGTTGGAAGAGACCAACCGGTCAACCAATCGGTCGACCGGTTCCTTTTCAAATAGGTAGGTTTAAACCGATCAAAAAGGTTCAAACAGGTAAAAAAAAAAAAATTGCCTTATCGATCGACCCTCCCTTTTTATACACGGTTGGAGGAAGAAATATCAGATTGAGAAAATTAGTTTTTTTAACTCAAATTTGATGAAAAATTTGATTCACCGTTAGAGATGATCTTAGATATGAAAAGAGAAATGCTATTAATTTTAAATGATTTATTAAATAAATTAAATTTTTTATATAAATATGAGATTTATATAAATTTATTTATAAATATTAGAGGTTTGATAAATATTTAATAGATTATTTAAAATCTTCAATATTATTTTACCTCACAAGTCACGTGGCGTCTTATATAGATGAGGATGAAATGTACAGTACAATGTTATATTAAGGAGTGGTTTGGTAACGTTGGCTTTTTAATTTTTTTTTTAATTTTTTTTTAAATTTTTTTAGTTTGAGGTTTTTTTGTTTGTTTGATTTTTTTGGTTTTTTTGTATTGAAATGACAAAATTACCTTCAATTTGAAAATGATATTTTTTTGACTTTTTATTTATATATAGGTTAATTTGATAATTTTACATCTTAAATTGAGTGTTTTATTATTTTGTGATTTTGAAGTTTTTTATTTTTTTTTTGTCCATATGTGCTTTTTTTTGAGTCCCAACATACAAACCAAACCAAGGCTAAGAATTAAAAAATATACCAAATATAAAAAAAAAAAATGTGATTATCTTAAGATATAATCATATGGTGTTCGAACATCCACCAATAATTTTGGGGAGTGAGATTTGTGTCATACGTAATTAGCCTAGTTAAGCCTCCTTTGGTGGGCTAGTGATTTAATTAAAAGTTAAAAGGGAGGTATTTTAATTAATTTATATGATATTCTCATATTTTAATAAGGTCAAGTTTGGCATCCTCTAAAAAATTTAAAAAAATCAAAAAGTCACTATTCTATTTAAATCACATCATCTTATTTAAGTCACATCACCTCTCTAACACATCACTTCAAACCCAACCCAAATCCAACCCATATTTCATAAAAAGTCAAAAAGTACACTTATTTAGTCTTCCCAAACTTGGCCTAAGTCTTATTATTTGAATATTTAATTTATAAATTTTTAATTCTCATATTTAAAATATTTTATAGATATTTATATCTTTACAAATATTTTTTAAAATGTTAGTAATTTGATGATGTGAGCATTCATATTTTACAATGTGAATATTCACATTGACGATGTAAATATTTACATTGACTGTGTGAATTTCACATCACGAAACATTCATACTATAAATATAAATATTATTAGGAGTATTTTGATAAATATGTCACTCATAGAACATATTGGAATATAAGAAAATAATGTGGATTAAATGGAACATAAGAGCATCTGCATCAAACAAGCTAAAATCATTTTTTAACTAAATTAGTGATACTATTCACAAAAAATGGACGTTCAGTCTCGTTACAGTATCTGGCGTGAAAAGAGATTTATGAAAAAATATCCCAAGTCAAAAAGACATGAAAAAATTAAAGATTTTTTTATTTTTTTAATATATTTTTATGTAAAATTTTTAAATATATTAATTTTTATTTTATATTTTAATTAAAAATTAAAAAATATTAAAAAAATTATTTCCAAGACCTAAATTGGTAAAAAAAATTAATTTTCATTTTTCACAAAAATAAGTGCGTGGTTCTTTGTTGTCACTGACTCACATCCGTAATTCAATTGTCAACAATTAGGGATGTTGAAGTGTGCACACACAAAAAGGTGCATATGGGATGTTTTTTATAATTTTTGACAATGGTACGTCTTTTATGATTTTTTTACAAAATTTTATAATTTAAACCTAAAATGTCATAATTTTTTCATAATAAAAGTCATAATTTTTTTTTCATAACAAAATCTTAAAGTATCATAACAAAAATCACAAAATGTTATAACATTATCATTTCTAACTTTAGGATGCACATCAAAAATTTACTGTTCATAATTTTACTATAAAATGTCATAACATACATAACGAACAATCATAACGTTTATTATAAAAAATCTTAACTTTTTTACCATGTGCACTATTTTAAAAGGTGCACCATAATAACCCTCACCACTGCTTACCGATAAACATTGATTACCGTCAAAATGAACTGATTATGATTGATAATCGAACTGATTAAAGTACTGAACTGACTGAGCTTCCGTTTGGGAAGTGGGTTGGCTTTTTGGCTTTTTTGACTATTTTAGCCTGGGCTTAAAAGCTTGGTTTGGGAAGGGCTTTTTGGCTTTTTTGAGTTTTTTTGTGAGAGAAGAATGTAATGATTATGGGTTGGATGTGATGTTTTGTTTGTTATAGCTAAAATAGCCTATTTTGTTTTTTTGTGGCTAAAATAGCCAAAAAAGCCCAAACCATGGCTTCCCAAACGAAACTGGAACGGAATTGACTGAGTATGTATGTTAATCTGTATTCTATCTGTTTGATTGTTTATTTGATATGTTCATATTTTATGTTTAAATTGCTAATTGAAGGCCTTATCGGCGGCCGAACCGGGAATTGATTAATGTTTCTCGATCATCATGATTTATGTGATTTTATGGTGTATTTATCTGAAAACTGATTAGGTATGATTAAATTAGATTAAATATTGGGTGAATTGCAAAGTTTTGAACTTAACTACCATTAGACCACTTAGTGGCCACTACTTCACACATGTTGAGCCTTGTATACACTTAAATCAAAACATTTCACCAACTCTTGCATTGCTTTGCCAACTTAGAGGGTGAGAGGGAGAGAATTGATTTGTCTTTGAGGGATTGGCTTAGACAACTTGGAGAATTGAAGTGTAGATTGCTAAATTGAGCTTCTAGTCTTCTGATTCAAGACCTAAGGTAGAGTAATTGCCCTCTTGTTTATGAATTGAGTTTGTTCTTACATGATTTATGTCAAATTTAGTGGATTGAGTCATGAAATAGCTTTATATGTTGAAATAGAGCATAATTTATGCATGCATGTTAGTATTGTTGGATTTTGAGTTGAGTTCATGGCAAATTGTCACATGCATGTCCATGTTTTGAGTGTAGGCCATGTTTTCATCATGTTTGTGAATCAATTGGCTCATTAGAGCATGTTTTGAAGCTTGAAAGTTATTTAAAGATCATGCATGTCATGTTTGAGGATTGTTCTTGAAAATGGTTTGAAATTGGGTTTGAATTAAACACCCTTGGGCTTTGATTTCTCAAATTGAGCTTTGAATCATCTTATTTCAGGTGTTTACAAGTGTTTTCCAGAAATTAGCCCAAGAGCATTGAAAATTATGCTTTTGAACTTGAGTTTGAGTTTGGAGGTGCAATCTGGAATTTCTAGATTCTGCACTTCCGCTTAAGCGGGGGAGAGTGACGCTCGAGCGTGGAATCCAAGCATCCAGTATCTCTGCACTGTTTTACAGTCCGCTCGAGCAGAGGATTGGGCGTTCAAGCGGAGTCATGTGCCTCAAGCTCGAGCGGGTGTCGAGCGTCCGTCGAGCGGAGATTTCACCCATCCAGTACTTTTGCAGTACGCTCGAGCGGGGGATTTGCCGCTCGAGCGGGTACCTTTGTCTGCATGTCCGCTCAAGCGGAGTAACCTACGCTCGAGCGAGACCCCTGTTTTCTGAAAAATCTAAAATGCTTTTAAAAGTGCATCTTTGCATCCTCATCTCATTCTAGGCATTCTTAGGCCTAGTTTAAGACATCTTATTGAGGGCATAGATGTAGAACACACCGAGGCAAATTAGGGATTAAGTTATTATATTTCCCAACCGTGTAGCTTAGTGCGTGTTCAATTCTGTTAACTGTGTAGGATTGGCTTTCTGGGGAGACACACTCTAGCATACTGTAGCCCAAACTCTGTGAGTAACGATTGTGTAAAGATATGTTCACAAATGATTATCTTCTGAACAACTGAACATGTACTGTTTTCTGAACTGATTACTGTTAACTGAATGAATGTATGTCCTATATTCTAGAAACTGTGTATATGTGGCATCCTTAGTACCTACTGTTTACTGTTACTGTTACTGTTACTGTTACAGAGATCTCTGTCGGTTCCCTTGTTGGAACCACTACTGTTTACTGATTGATGGCCATCATTACTGTTTGGTCTTTTAAGACCTACTGTTACTGTTATGCTAATGGATGTACCACATATGACTGTACTGACGGAACGACTGAAATACTGTTTAAATGGATTGTTTTCATTACTGTAAGGACATTCATTCTTAACCCCTTTATGCATTATGTTATTCACTGGGCTTTAGCTCACTGCTCATATATATATATAAGTGTTCAGGCACCAGACCGCGGCTAGGAGCGTCAGGGTTACTCCAGTTTTGTCAAGCCAACTACCGTGCCTCACTGTGAGGTTCTAAGCCTATCATGCTAAGGCTTAGGGGTGTTTTAGGACTCCCCCTTCTGTACTATCTTGCTGTTTTGTAATAACTGAATGGATTGTATAGACTGAATGTTTACTGTACTGTTATATAGGGATTGAGTCCCTATTTTGAATGATTGTATATATTGTGTATACTTTTCCACTGAATGTAAACGTGTTTGGAAAGTCTTTTTGCATACAGACTGTCACAGCTCATTGGGCATTGTTTAATTACTGTATTGGCTTCCGCCAGGCCCTGTACTCTGTTTTACTGTACTATTGTTAAGCAGGCCTT